ATTATTATAACAATGTTGTTGAACAAATTCATAGAATTATTAAACCAAATCCAACAAATTGTTCTCTGTGTATAAAACTTGATCCATTTTAGACACGTTCTGATTTAGTTAAATTGCAGTTTCGGGCGTTAGAACACAGTGAGCTGATTGAATGAATTTTGGCGTCTAAATTAATGGCTCGCCATTTGAAAAAAGCGACCGGTCATAAATTGGAATCGCAAATAAACGTCCAAAAATGTAATAGAACACATTTTTTACGTGACACTGGTTCAACTATTTAGCTGAGTAAAATGGACGTTTTTTCCTACACAAAAAAGTGTGTTACTTTTTTTGATGGGCGAAGGAAAAGTGAAAGGATGGCCGAAAAACAATTACAGGGGCATTAGAGGGTAAATTGAGAAGCATAAGGCATTTTCTTGCAAAAAAAATCTAAAGGAGAAAAGAAAAGAATCATATAGACTTTTATTACGCTTGTGATTGCTTTAAGCAAGTTCTCTTTAACTTAATTATACTTATATTTGTTGTAAAAAAGTATATAAAATATAAAAAAATGTTTTATTTAAGGGTGAATCTTTTAATTATTTTTTACAATGTTTTAAAAGTCTAAAACCTATCCTCCGTGACTGTTACTCTTTCTAAGTTAACCTATATGTTTTCAAATATCTGAGGTAGTAAAAGCATACTAAAAATATCAGTTCACTAAGTAAATCAAACACATCCAAAGCAATCGAATCAAATATAAAATATTATTAAAAATTAAAAGAAATAATTTTTATAACCATTATGTAGGTGTTACAAAAATTGATTCTATCCTCCGTGAATCTGTTTTTGCTTTAAATTTTATGCAACGGATGGCGCTTTAATCATTTTAAATAAGCAAAAACCTCTGTTTACGACATTATAGATGCATGTGATTCCTGAAGGTCAGTTAGAATTTATAGGCAGGTGAGAGTGTTGCTGTTTTTAATAAAATTATAGTTTATATTATAGGAATTCAAATTAAATGAAAAAATATAAAAAATGTCAAAACTTCAGGGTATGCAATGCATTTGCGCCCGCTACTGAACATAGCTTGTATTTCCCGGAATTTTTTCACTGTCTTAAAAGCCCAAATTAGAATTTTCATTATACCCTTGCGCTAAAATGGACATAAAACTTAATAGTCTTGAATAAAGGAGTGAGTAAAAGTTTTATTTAGGTTCTGGCTGACACCTTATTTTTCTTAAAAGTTAAATTAATTTAAAATTTACTCTTTCCTCCTAAATTTTCAGCAGGGGAGACGGTAAATACAAAGTCAAATATTTATTTTAAGGCTTGCATAATAGTATATTATGTATCAAGTTTGATAAACGCCATTTTATACACGAATTTAATTTAGGCACGAGCGAGCTTGCGAGCGAGTGCTTAAATTAATGAGTGTATTGAAAAGTTTATAAACGAGGTGCTTACTATACTTTTTCTACGACAAATACTTATTATTATCTTAAAATGATTTAAATCAAAAATTTGTATAGAGCGCCATCTATGAAACAACAGGGGAAACTGTCAAATGTCACATTTTTACATTTTATAAACACAATTATAAAGGTTATAAATCGAAATGTATCTTGAAAATTTACAGTTTTTCACAGTGAAAGTAAAGGTAATGTTTTATGAGGACTTTACAGTAGAGTCCGTGCCCGAATTTAAGTTATAGTTTACTGCCGGCGAAATTAAAAGGTCAGTACATGTTCATATAAACTTTTCAAATATTGGCGTTGAGAAACTATTTAATACTTTGGTATTTTTGTATTGAGATAATAAAATAATTTTCACATTTAGTATTATTTTACAAGAAAGGCACTTTATTTTAACGATTGTATGACATTTGACAACTGTCAACTAACTTAAAACTAACTTCAGCCCGTGACTAAAGCGCCGTAAAGCCACAACTTATCAATGTGTATTTAAAAGGTCACTTAGTGTCATGTAAACATGTACGATAAAGGGCGTTTTAAAGGTGGGAGTAGAAAAAATAAATTATACATTTTAGTCTCTTACTGTTGTTATGAATTATTAGATTTAGCCTTATAAAGGCTAATTTTTAAATTTAAGAGTTAAAAAGTTTCAGTTTCAAGCAAAATAATGAAAACGCATTAAGTACTCAATGAGTGGAAATTAGCGAAAGGTAATTTTCCGAGTTTTCCGCAGTCAACGCCTGAAAATTCGACCCACTTTTCGGGTGTGTTCGAGTGAACTAGGTCACATGAAATTTTCAATGGTAAAAATACAAAGTTTTTGTTGCCAAACTTGATCTTATTCCAGGATCGAGAAGAATGTAAGTGTCAAGTTGGCACCACACAGAATAAGCAAAATTGTATTTTTGATTTTATTTTATTATTTATTTTGTTAGTAAAACCGGATAAAACTAAATAATTTCCAATACCTTGGTAAAATTACCTTACACAGTAAAAATACAATTGTACATAAAATATTTATAAAACAATCTACTAAGTGAGATATTACACTTCACGGTTGATAGGTTTTTAAATAGCAAATTAATGAACTTAAACTTTTTAATTGTAAAACAGCAACACTCTCATATGCATATAAATTCTAACTGACCTTCAGGAATCACATGCATCTATAATGTCGTAAACAGAGGTTATTGCTTATTTAAAATGATTAAAGCGCCATCCGTTGCGTAAAATTTAAAGCAAAAACAGATTCACGGAGGATAGAATCAATTTTTGTAACACCTACATAAATGGTTATAAAAATATTTTTTTTTAATTTTTAATAATATTTTATATACAGGTTACCCTAGAAAGAGTAAGTCACGGAGGATAGGTTTTAGACTTTTAAAACATACACATGTAACATGTAACATTTAGTTTTATTAAATATCGTGAGATTCACCCACATTAGACAATCTAAAATCCCGTTTTTGTTTATGATTCTATAGGAATTCTCTCTCCTTTAAACATATTTTTTAAGGAATTTTTAACGACCTATCAGTAATTTAATAACGCGGAAAAATACAAACAGAGATTATTTTTCCCGAAGTTTGCTTTCCTGTTATGTCGCCATAAAAATTTTATATTCCATTATCAGATCCTTCATACATTTTAATGAGATTTTCTTCAGAGCACAACGCACAACAATGTCATATACTGTTTTGTATTTTAATTTTTACATGATATTGCAAAAAAAATGACGGGCCTGAACTTGTTGAACAGTTAGACAAATTGAAAAAAATCTGTTATTAATAATATAACATTTATCAATATTGATAAACGACATTATAACACCGCTTTCCGAGCTGTAATGAGATACTTTATCCCACCCAAAATTTTGATTTTATAGGTTGGCTATACTTTAAACAGCATAAAATTTTGCATATTGGTTATAATATTTTTATGATTTGTCTAGTGCTTACGAGACTTTTCTGGCAATAAATTTTACACCAAAGAAAATCCTTTTTTCTTCTTTAACATTAACAGCCGCTTATTGTACTATGCTCCACACCTCAAAGTCCCACCATGTGACCACGGACGGAACGCAGTCTTTTGAAAATTTGGGATTTAAGGCATTCAGGTTATGTATCTGTTAACGAAAGAAATAATATTATGTTTAGGCGTTAAAAATGTATAAATCTTTATAACATTAGAATAACAATGGATTGTTTAAGAATTTAAGAATATAAATACTGCATTTAATAACATTCTAAAGTGTATGGTGCCAAATAAGTAATATTTTTGTGCATTTGGTCCAAATATCTGGTTTTCTCCATAAAATTATTTTAACTAAACAGCATTTATTTAAAAAAATCTAGCTTCTCTATTATGGAATAAGAATATCTGTATTAAAGGTAGGTTAATATATTAATATCATCTAATTTTGTAATTTTAAGGTTAGAAAAATTTATTTTGACCAAAATAAATAAGTATTTTGGATTATTTAAAAGACTGTATAATATGGTATTTCAAAATGTGGTAGTTTTTTTTGTCCAGCTTAAAGTGTACCTACATAAAGTTTTGTCAATACAAATAGTTAAAAAGCTTCGACTGAATTTGATCTATAGATGTATACATCAAAAAATCATTATAACTTTAAAAATTTTAATAAATCACATGTCATGGGAGTATTAAATATGTTCACATTGCAAGTTTGCAAAAGTTGTTTGTTTTCTTATAATCTAACTTAAAGTAAGTGTGCCGAGAGGTATGCACAAGTTTTGTCGTTAGAAGTATAAAAGCTTCAATTTAATTTGAACTATATTCAACAATTATTTAGTATACCTATATTTATTTATGACCATATTAACACACCATGGATTATTTGAAATAGTGCACTTATTTAGTTTGGTCAAAATAGATTTTTCTAACCTTAAAATACAAAATTAGATGATATTTTTTGTTCTAATACATTAACCTACCTTTAATACAGATATTCTTATTTCATAATAGAAAAGTTAGATTTTTATTAATAAATGCTGTTTAGTTAAAACTATTTTATGGAGAAATGTAGACCCAATGCACAAAAATATCACTTATATTGCACCTTACACTTTGGAATTTCATTAAATGTAGTATTTGTATACCTAAATTCTTAAACCAACCATTGTTATTGTTATACTATAAAGATTTATTAACTTTTAACGCTTAAACATAAGCGGTAACACTATAAATATTATTTCTTTCGTTGACTATACTTTGACAGTTACATAACCTGAAAAGCCTTAAATGCCAAATTTTCAAAAGACTGCGTTCCGTACGTGGTCACGTGGTGGGACTTTGAGGTGTGGAGCATAGTACATAAGTAAATTAAGGACGGCATGGCGAATCGATTTTGACATTAACTGTCAAACCAATGACTGTGATACCAACTATCTAAAGTAAAATTCGACCAAATAGTTTTTTTATGGAATTTTTGCAATTTTTTTTAGTTTCTAAAATTGGCCAGCAAAATACACAGATCTCGCTCCTATTGACTTTTTCGAAAAAGTTTGTCATATTCACCTGGTGATGCTGATGGTAATCCAACTGCGCGCCGTTCTGCAGCAGCCTGTACCTGAAGGGGCTGTGCACGGGGCACGTCTGATGGAAGGGGCTTTCGGGGGGCGGCTGCCTCAGCGACAAGACGGAGGGCCCGCCGACGGGGGTGACGGGGTCGGAGGAGCGGCCCGGGGCCGGTTGGCGGTCGCACCACGTCTGCGAGGAACCGACCGAGGCCCCCCCGTGACGCGAGGGCGGCGCCCGCGTCGGGGGGGCCCCGTACGCGGGGCACTCTACGCAGAAGAAATGCGGGTGGTGGGGGGGCAGGGGCGGCTCGTCAAAATGGTCGGGGATCGAGCGGGACGACGAGCCGTTGTAGCGGTGAATCTCGTACCTATTTGTAGTTTTTTTTGCAATTAAATATTACTAATAATATACAGCCCGTTCAGAGTAAAACCGAATATAGGGAAACGTTTTGGGCGTGGCCTCGCCTCCCTCCAACGCGCGACACAGTAGCCAAGCAAATAGCCTGCATCATTTAATTTTTAAGGTGGTCGTACCTGCTCGACCTTCGTCATGTCGTTTATCACACAAGCTACTGTGACGCGCATTGGAGGGAGGCGAGGCCACGCCCAAAACGTTTCCCTATATTCGGTTTTACTCTGAACGGGCTGTATATTAATGGTATTCTTACGATTTCTTACTGTTTTTATTTTAATTAATAAATAAAGAAATTGTTTTTTAAGTTAGATGAATGAGATTTGGTTAGTAGGTTGCTGCAGTTGAAAGAAGTTAAAAAAAAACTAAACAAAATTGGATTATACGAAAAAAAAAGTAGTATACAAAAGTCTATTATTTTCAATGGTTTAAAACTGTTCAACAATTTACCGCAAAATATTGTGATAATTATAAGGATTTTAAGAAAATGTTAATTGATTACTCCAAAAATATGTTTTAGTCTTAGTGTTAGTATTAAAAACTGTAAGGCTACTTTTATTATTTGGGTCATATCTCGAGTTTTAAATGGCAAAATGTATTGCAAAAGATGTCAAATTAAAAATAGTTGACATTTCAACAAATGTAACACTATAAATGCCCAATTAGTCAATAAGTTTAAGTGCAATCGTCCCAAATGTCGAATTTTTTTTGAAAAAACTTGAATATAGTATTTACTATTTTACCAAGAAGCAAAAATCAATAAAATATGCCCATTTTTAAACTATCTACAAAGAGTTTACACTGCTAAGAAAAAAATTAGGTAATAAACAAAAATTATGGATAAATCACAGTTTATGTACAGGTAGCAAAATTTAACTTTTTGTAGCGTATTTTGTGGTTTAATGCAAATAAATGAATTTATTACTTTTTAAATAAAATTGTTGTTTATACAGAGGGAGGGACTTAACTATAGTTGTAAACATATTTATTTTCAATGGGATTATGAATCAAGGTTGTTGCTTTCAACTGACATGTCTACAATATCTACAATTATTTGTTAAAATTTGAAAACTAATATCTTAAATTTTCAATATCAAATATCATATGAAAAAACTTCATTTGACTTTTTGATTTCTCCTTACCAACTCTTTATATTATATAGCGCTTCAAAAATTTTTCAAAATTTTGAAAATCAGTATTTTTGCTCACCCTGTACAACTAATGGATATTTTTCTACGCGAATCGAATTTATATAACAATCAGTTTTTCTCGAAAAATTGAAAATAAATATTTTTACAAGTATAGTGTCCATCCGTGGACACAGTGTATATAAATTAATGAAGTTTTTTTCGTTTAAAACATTAAATTTTACATACAGGGTGATCCTCTATAATGTCGCCCCCCTTTAACTTTTTTATTTTAAATGTCCCAAAAAATTTAAAAGTGTGGTTATGTAGGTACTAAAAAATACTTTTTTCCATGTATTAAAAAAAATTTAAAATTGATCAATATACAGGAAAAAACAAAAAGTTTATTTTTTTCAATGGATCACCCTATATATGAATTTATTTTTTAAATACTTTTAAAATTCTGAGCATAATTCATATAACAAACCATATCCTAAATTCAACTGTTTCTGAAATATTCGCATTCGAAATGTTATCATTAAATGGTTTTTTAAACTGTTAGAAATCAAGAAGCCTCAGTATACCAAAATTTTTATTGAAAATAAATTATTATAGTGACATTATGTCAATATGTCTTGTTAAATAAGTAAAAAATGGCCTACTCAGACAGAGAAAGACAAACTATTTCAACTTATTATCTTCAAAATAATTAAAATATTTCAGAAACGGTTGAATTTAGGTATACGGTATGTTATATGAAATATGCTTAGAATTTTACAAGGAATTGAAAAATAAATACATATATAGGGTGATCCATTGAAAAGAAATAAACTTTTTGTTTTTTCCTGTATAATAATCAATTTTCCAATTTTCTTTATACGTAGAAAAAAAGTATTTTTTAGTACCTACATAACCACACTTTGGATTTTTTTTGGACACTTAAAATAAAAAAAAAATAGGGGCGACATTATAGGGGATCACCCTGTACATTGTTATATCGCTGTTGTATGCTACTTTCAAAACAAAACGAGATTTTGAGTGTCAAAATAAACCGGATGATTAAAACAAATTATTTTTAATTTTCAATATGTTATGTATAATGATATACAGTGTGTTCCATTCAAAACGAAACACCCTAAATTTCCTGGAAATTAAAAAAAATTGAAAAAACGGAATTTTAAAGACCGTTTTTTCAAAATTCCTTCAGTTTCCGAGACATTAAGGGTGGTTAGTTTTAAAATAACAAACTATATTTTAATATTCAAATAGTGACATCGAATGTACATTTTTTTATTTCAGCAAATATTACCACCAATATTTCACTATATCAACAGTAAATATGTATATGTATATATGTATATGTATATATATCTTCACTAAAAAAACACTTTCCACAGTAAAAAATCAAGAAAACCTTTATTTCCCTACATTAATTAACACAGACAGACAAACTTTAACTGACGAACTTGTAAATATAAAAACAAACTATATACATGTATACCTTTTTAAATATTAATGAAGCGACTAAACCACGTAAACTTTTTGAGAAACTCTAACGCAATAGTAAAAAAAACTATTTTTTTGCTTAATATATTTTTTTGCACAAAGATCGGAGAGCAGAGCATAAAAGTGAGGTTAAAATTGACGTGTCGGTCTGTGTTACGATAATTGGGGTAAATTTTTTCTTCTGACCGGTAAGGTATCAACAACGTGTCTAGCGGGGACGGTCATGAGACCGCGCGGCACCGTTTTCGGCGAAATACTGCCGCCTCCGGTCTTACGGACCAGCTGCTGCGGCGGCGGCTGTTGAATGGCGGCGCGCGCCGCTTCCCGCCGCCTGCGACGTTGCAAAGCTGCCAGTACGGCACGCGGCTAACTGGGACACCTTTGCGAGTTCAAGACCAAGCACTCGTAACTCGTGTCAATGTTAGTTCTCTCAATATTAGGACCAACTGCGACAGTTTGTAGGGTTTTTTTTTAGAATTTTAAAAACAATCAAATGTTACATAATTTTATCTACTTCTTTCGTGTTTTGTAATTTGTAATATAAAGTTTTCACATAGGTATGGGATATTTTTGTATTATTTTTGCGTCCTGAAAAAATTGTATTACACTATTAAAAATTAAAATAGCATGTGGTCATAAATATATAAAGGCAACTTATAAGGTTAATACCTTTTTTATTTTAAATGTAACACCTTGTATGTTTTTGGGTCGTTTTCAAAAAACACCCGCCTTCCGCTGTCCGTAAGTTTGAATTCCAATAACTTTGTTAAAAATTATCGGATCTTATTGATTTAAAAACCAAGTGAAAGCCTAACAAGCCCTTAGTAAACTCTTTCAGAAAATTTTTGTTTAGTTATTTCAGAATATTTTTTTTTTTAATTTTGATACTTGTGAAACACATTTTCGCATGTCCCATTAGCGTTTTATTAAACTTATATACAAGTTTTTTTTAAATATTGAATAACCAGAACTTTGTGTTGCTTTATAGCAATCCATAACATCCTTAGTTAATACAGTAAACAATTTATATATAAAATAATTAATTTTAATCTACATTTTTTCCTTTGCGTTACGTCCGTTGCGTTACCGATAGAATATTAAAAAAACATTTATATGGCAACTTTTTTGGCACTCACGTGATCAACAAATGATGTTCGGACGTACACATTACCCAGCTGAATTTATTTATTCAATCAGGAAGAAGATATCGGTTGAAACAGGTGCGGGTAACGCGAATGTAATAATTGTTTGTCCGCTAAGTTACTCAAAAAAATAATAAAAATAAGGTAAGAAAAAATACTATTTTTCATGTTTATGCTTATTTTAAAACACTAAAGCTCATTGAGAGTAATTAATGACTGTAAATGTTTTATTATTATTTTTTAAATATGGTTTCACAAAAATTTTTCCACTGCGTTACCGAGTCCATTATGTTACCTTATGGTAACGCAATGGAATTTAGGGTAACGCAATAGAATTTTTCGACAACAAAGTGGATATTTACCGTCGCTTTTTTTAAAAGTAGTTTATGATTAACCAATTTAAAATTATTTGTGATTACAACTCATGATATAGATTACATCCAAGGGAAAATTCCACGCAATATACAAGTATTAAAAGGGACCTTCACCAGCTTATAGTCAAAGAAAAAGGATGTCTACAATTTAGAAACCTAAGTTGTTATTCTGCAAGTGAGCACCACTACAAGGGATTTTGTTTATGCATTACTCTAAAATCGTACCACCCTATATAGTTTCTTTTTTACATTATCTGATTAAGTCCTTTGTGTACCCCAGTCCGTTGTGATACCGATGTCTATTTCGTTACTTTTTTTAGTTTTTGTTAAAAAAAATACTTAAAATGATTTTTATACACTATCACTTGGTAATACGTGTTTATAAATTAGAGTTTAACTCACTAATACAGTGACTAAAAGAAAATATTAATGGTATTGTTTTTTTAACAAAGAATCGGAATGGTTTCTTTTAAAAAGTAACTTAACAAACATACATATTTTAAAATAAGCATACAATTTTTAATAAAAAATAAAATAAAAAATTGGAGTCAAAAGTTTGTGAACTAAGTACATTTTATTTCAAATTATTTTTATAACAACTTTTTTTATTGAATTAAATTTTGGATTTTAAATTGGTAACAGCTAGCTAACATTTTTCTGAAAAAAACGTAAAAAAAATTAAAAAGTGCACTGCCTGTCTTAAATGTAAGTAAACAAAACTCTAAACATTTATAAAAATCCAACCAAAAGTCAATTTAAGCAAAAAAAAAATTGATCTTAATTTTCCTGAAAGCGGGTATTTCTTGAAAATGACCCTTTTACATAATCAAATAGAAAATTAAAAAACAGTTCGATTGATTTAACTATTCCCTGTATACAAATTTACTAATTTCAGAGATATTTAATAATTTCCAATAAAACACCGTAAAAAATCAAAAATAAATTCTACATTTAATTGGGTGATTGCAGGAAACTTTAAATGATTTAATTCGACTAAAAGCATTTTTTTCCAATTAAAAGCTGCTGGTTTAAGAATGAAAATAAATTAAATTTACAATACCTTACTACCTACCTATTCTTAAGTTATTTTTTTGTAACCTGAAGGAAAAAGTTTTCCCTTACAAATTTAATCTAATAGAAAATATACGTAGGTTTAAAAGTTTTGTAAAGGGTAGTTCCAAAAAGTTGCTTTTTTGACACCTGCGAAGTTTGGTTTTGCATATAAATTGTGGCTTCTGAAAGTTTTATAAGTAGTTATGAAAAAACATCTATTTTTTAATATAAAGTAATGATAATATTGTGTACTAAAAGAGGCAGAATATAATTACAAAGATTGCACATACATTGACTTTTGAAGCCTCTAGATTGGCTGTTAAGCCTTTGTTAGGCAAAGTTATCATAATCAGGTGTACCTAACATATTGAGGACAAGATAATATTGTTGTTCAGTGGGGTGCGTTCGATAGGGACAATATTCCGCCACCCCTTTCTGCCATAATATCGATTGTTATTTGACAAATCATCGTAAGCGACAAAACCTAGATTTTTTATGTGGGAGCTTTATTTTTAAAGTTATTTATCTGAAAACTGGTGAGACATTATTTTATTAATGTAGAATTCAAATATTTGAGTAAGATCGAATCCAATCTAAAATTTTCATTTAATTTTGTGGCATACGATACTTCATAAGAACATCTTTAGGAAAATTTAAAATTAGTCTTGTCGCTTAAGTTACATTTACGTTACTATTTGGGATATAGATTTGATGATTACTTTTGTCAAAACATCGTTAGCGACATTTATTTTTTTACTTTTATTATTAAATAAAAAAAATTGATTTTTAAAATATCACCAACGATATTTTGCCAAACAATGTTTGAAAATGAAATTCTACATTAGCTTTCTTTGAAAAAAACGAACGATTTTTATTCACAAACCAGTATCTAACCCATGGAGCCTACACAAGGAGCCCGAACTTAATAGGGGAAATTGACAAAACCTGCCCTCTAAATTGTACCTACAATTTAAGTTTCTTTTTTCACCACCAGCGGCGCTGATTGTCGATGGTAGCGTTTATTAATAATTATCTATTATCTTAGGAAAATTCTTGTTTACATGATGTTCGGACTCCTTGTGTAGGCTCCATGATCTAACCCATGGTACTATGATCTAACCGTTATAAATTTGAGTCAAATTATTTGACGCTATAACAACATACAATTACTAAAAAAAACACTTTTAACGAACAACACTACGTAAAAACAATTATAATTAGGATAACTATTAATAATGCAATGAAAAAAAGGAATTATAAGCTTTTGATGAAATAAAATATTGTTTTAAAACTTGGTAGCAATCACCACGATGCAGGTATACTCACGAATAAACTGTTTAAAGCGGGAATAACGCCTTGATAGATCAAGGCGGGAGCACAATATTATCGTAAGCGACACAATGTTAAATCGCAAACGCCATGTCTCGGAGTTGCTTACGATTATTTGTCGGGAACATATAGGCGCTTACGTTATAAATCGGTAACAAATTAAAAAGAAGAGGCGCTTACAATAATAAAAATATTCAAACTGACCAATATTGGATTCCAAAATTGGGATAACTATTATGTTAACATGTGCAGCTTATCGTATCTGACACTTTGATAAAATAAAAAGTAATTCAACAAAATTGTCGCTTACGATGTTTTGTCAAATAACAGGACGAGAATGCTGTTTCCACACGAAAAAAAAATGTTTTATTCTTACCTGTTAAATGTTAAAAAAGACTTTAAATTAAATAATCTTATTCTTAATTTAAGATTAACAATCGATTAGACCAAATTTTGAAAATTCCCTCTATTCTGTTCTTAAAGATATAAAACTATACTGGATATAAATATAATTATATTTATTCTAAGATTAGTAAATATTGGTATGACTGGCCTATTCTTAAAAATATCCCCCACTCACGAAAGTGTATGACATTTTGGAAGATTGTTTCTTGTGTTAGTTAATATTTGGTTTGGAATTATGAAAGAGCTGCTAAATTAGTGGAATTTGATAGAATTAACCAGCAAATGTATGTGTAGGTAATAATTATTACATAATTATATTTATGTGCGTAGTATTATGTTAGGTTAGGTTGGCCGAAGAATCACATAAAAAACAATTATGTATATTTTACCTCTAGATTATAGGTACGAATAAAAATTTTGGTTAAACAGGGCAATATAGCCAAAAATGTCCGTCTCGCAAACAAAATCAACGTGTCTAAAGGTTTGAAAAAATTATTGCAGTATATAGGTAGATAGGTAGAGATGCGACTAGAAAAAAAACGTTCCGTTTTTGTTTGTTTTTTTCAGGTTTTTTTTCATTGTTTTTTTTTCAAATGGTTTTTTTTCATATTTTAGGTTTTTTCTTCAAGATTAGTCCCATGGGACTAATCTTGAAGAAAAAACCTATGCATTTGCCTAATTTTTTATGTTTCCAGTCCAGTTCATGGACTAAAATTAGCCACTAAATGACAATTAGTAAATGTAAATACAGTCTCGCGCTATGCACGCGCCACCACCACTGAATTGACCAATAAGGGCCGCGCTTGTTTTGATTTGTTCCTAAAAAAAAGTAACTACGTATAATATTTTTGTGTTTTTTTGAGTTTTATTGATGATTTTTTTTCATGATTTTTCAAATTCATGTAGAGTAAGGACATTTTTTTTCAAAAATCAATAACATTTATGCATTGGTGGTCAAGGCAGAACATTTCATGGACCAAAAAAGAAAGCCAAAAAAATTCTTCTTTTTTTATTACGGTATTCGCTAGCATTGAGCGTTGCACTTTTTTCATCTAAAAATCTC